CCCGTAGGATTCTAAATGCCCAAAGAGACAACCTGAAACCTAGTGTGTTCCAGTCAGCGCTCCCATCACTGATGTATGCCATACCCATAACTATGGTAGCTGATTGAAGCATATGTATTCTTCAGTCAGGAGAAGGCAGTTCTAATGGGTCAACACTTCAGGGCATGACAAAGTCTTAAATAACCCAGAAAGATGCCCAGGTATTTTGACAGTGATCTTGACTGTATACCCCACTCATTTATCTTCTTAACAACCAAAACCGCTGCTTGCTTCATTGTATCACTGAATAATAAAACAAAAATTCAGTCCTGCTAAAATCCACCCAAATAGTCTGATTAAAATATACATAAAATTCTACAATATGGTCTCATTTGCAATGGGCCTTTGCTTCAGAATCTCTTTTAAAACTTACCATGATAGCAAAGAATAAGTAGTACATAAAACAACACACATATTTTTTCAAGGGCCTACTCCTAAGAGGCGCTGAATGGGGTGTTCAGCACATCATAGGACTGGACCCAAAATCCACTTGTTTGAAAATGCTAAGATTATCAAAGAACTTTTACTTGTGTATATTTATTTTCTTGTCAAACCTGCATTACAAATGTTCTTTTCTGAATTGGAATTGCTTTTTTTAAAGTTAAGAAAACCTACATTCAAATGTATATACTACTTGACTAATAACATATTTGTTGTTTTGAATAGAGAACCATATTTAAATATCTATCTTCCCTCCATTTTGTACTTAGTGATAACCCTGAAAACTAGCTAATTATTTCAGCAGCTAAAAAAGTTTGTTTTTACAAATATATTACATTTCATCCAAGCAGAAGACCTTCTTTAGGAAACTGCCACATCTTTGTAACAATTAAAGAAAGCATAATCTTAGCATTGTTCATCGGATTCACTTTTAGTACCCACAGCTCTAACATTAAAATTATACAGCATCAGTAAACAGTTCTTTTTAAGAAAAAAAGTACAAATATAAAAATTCTGGCATCATTGACTATGTTCCCATAAAACATTCAGAAGCAGAGTATTATACAAACTGGCCAGTAGGGTAAGAGACGCTGAGCCAGAATCTTGTATGATGTAAAATAACATAGCGTTATTGAAGAAAGTGGAACTATATTAGTTTAAACTTGAAGGAATGGCTCACATTGCTTAATCTCTTGAAGGCTAAGTATCTGACTGAATTTAGGAAAGTCTTCAAAAGAATCTTTTTTTCCTTTTTGAGTGTTAACACTTGATACCGACAACAGGAGCCATTGGTGGACAGATTATTATTGTTGTGCAACATGTTTCTTTTCTTTCCTTTGGTTTTTTTTTCATTGAAAACGCTTATATTTTTGGGTTTCTAACCTGGGGATGCATCACATAGAAGGTAGATAGCAGTTTCCTATCCCAATTCTGACTTCTCTATAGGACTCCAAGATGAACATGGGCCGACAATGCGAGGTCATGGTTGGCAGGGCTAATCGGACCTTATCGTGCATCCACAGGTGCATCTCGAGTAGAGCCAAGGAGGTGATCCTCCCCCTCTATGCGACACTGGTCAGGCCACAGCTGGAGTATTGTGTCCAGTTCTGTGCGCCCCATTTCAAGAGGGATGTGGACAACATGGAGAGGGTCCAGAGGAGGGCCACCCGCATGATCCGGGGACAACAGGGCAGACCCTACAGTGAGAGACTGCGGGACCTGAACCTATTCAGCCTCCACAAGAGAAGGCTGAGGGGGGACCTGGTGACCGTCTATAAACTCACTAGGGGGGACCAGAAGGGTTTGGGGGAGACGCTGTTTCCCCTAGCGCCCGCTGGCATAACAAGGAGTAATGGGCACAAGTTGATGGAGAGGAGGTATAGATTGGACATCCGCAAAAACTACTTCACAGTTAGGGCGGCTAGGAGCTGGAACCAACTTCCAAGGGAAGTGGTTCTGGCCCCTACCCTGGGGGTCTTTAAGAAGAGGCTGGATGCCTACCTGGCTGGACTCATTTGAGTCCTGTTTTTGTTTTGGGGTTTTGTTGTTCTCCCGCCCTGGCGGGGGGTCGGGCTAGAAGATCTACCAGGTCCCTTCCGACCCTAAATCTATGAATCTATGAATCTATGACTGAGATCTACCCAAGCATGGGTGCACTGGATGGGTAGGTCCATGTGGTGTGGCCTCACCTGGTATTATGGAGATTTGCTATGAGAGATGATAGAGCTTGGAGCTACATTCCCCTTCCTGTGGAATGCAACCTATGCCAGGCATACTTCTTTAAGGGGAGTTCAAAGGGAGAGGTGTGACCAATAAGTGTGCTAGCAGCAGAGCTGTGATGCCATGGAGCAAGAAGTATTGGGAATCCAGGGACAACGTAGGAGATTTTCATACAAAGCCTTTGTTTTTTTTAGTGACCACAGGGATCTGCAGGGTTTGAGGTTGGGAAACCTCTTCCGTCTAAATAAAACAATCAGGGAGAAATCTCACAGAAGGACCCCCAGAGACATAGCCTTTCTACTGGCTTCTCTCCCTCAGGCATTACCCTGGTAAGAGACATTCTACTGTATGCCATCTCTGTGCCAGTCTGGAAATCGGCTTTACAAAAGCTCAGCTATTTACTTCTGGTACCTGGCCTCCAGAAGAAATCTCCTTGCCATTTTAAAACTAAAAGCACCAGCGTTCTCTTTACAGGAAGTAACAGCAGCTTCTTGTTCATGTGTAGATACCGTAACACTTAAAAATATTTTCCTGGCAAGTCATTTGGTGGAGAAAAATAAATGCATTGTATTTCAAAATGAGCTGCAGTGTAATTCTCCCACTGTTAATAACACAGAGGATTCCCCTCATGGTGCCTGCCAGGGCCTGATCCTGCAAGATTTTGAATGCCCTCAACTCCCACTAATTTCAGGGGGAATTCAGCTGAGCTCTTTGCAGGCTTTGGTCATATGACCTTCAGAAGTCACTGGCTTTCCCAGAGGTAATTAACTACATTTTCTTCAGAAATCGGTGTATTGAAGAGAAAAGGGAAGGAAGGAAGAGAAATAGCATGCTGCCAGGGCTTGATTCTGAGGTGTGCTCACAGCACTCAACCTCATTCACAACTTCGCCGGATCAGGCCCTCTGGTTTTTCCCAGTTTGTTTGGATGCCCAAGGGGGTTTTAAAACCCTAAGACTGGTATAAACAAGTTCAACCACAGCAAACTACTTCATGTTGAAGTAATTTTGAAAAAGAGAACATTAAAAGGAAAAACCCACAGGGGTTAGGACTGATAATCCATGACCACACACTGTCTGTGAGGCTTTTATACTTCCTTGCTGAGGAACAGCACAGAAGTGGGAAAAAAGAAACAGAAAAGCTCCATGGTTCCTTTAGACGGGCTGCAGCTGGGGAAAAGAAGGAAGAATGCCACATCCTGTATTTGGCCCATTATTCCACTTAGCCACTGAAGCCCCTATGGACTTGATACCTGCCCTAGGAATCAGTTCCCCTCAGGATTTAAGTATTTCATTACATCTACTATGATAACATCACGCAATTGTTGTTTAGCCAAACATACATATGTAAACATATAAACCATTTTGTGTGTATGTATACACATGGGCAAACTAAGTAGGGATGGTTAGGCAAGATTTCCAGCTCTCAGTTCTAAGTTTGCTTGATTTTATTTAGTCACACAACCCACACTACCTAACTGCTGCATGTAGATTAATTGCAGAAATCATCTTTGATGCAAGAGGTGGAACCACACTGCAATTCTACAGCATCACCACAGATGGCCCTATGCCACAGAGGCCACTTTTATTCTAGAGAACTTCAGCTTTATTCTGGGTGAGGTTTCTTTTGTGTTAAACGAAACAGGACTAGGCTTAGCTTGGAATACAAAAAGTGTAAATGTTCTTCAGAAGGAATTTCCTAATCCTAAAATCTCTGCACAGTATTATGCAAAGCTTAGGCCTCTTTAAAGAAATACAAAACCAAACACAAACAAAACACTATGTTGTTGTTATTAGGGTCTTTCAGATCATGATTGTACCAGTGGCAATAATGGCCACTGTTGGAGGTCTCAGTTTTTGTTTCTATAAACTTTCCCTTTCTAATTTTGGCCAAAAGTGGAGGTGTACAGTCAGAAAATGCTGATAACAAGTAAGGGCATTATTCTGAGAGATGACTTCAGTAAGAACTGAGGGCAATCAGCACCGCCCAAGAAATGCTTGGCACCTTGCAGGATTGGTCCCTAGGCTTGCTACCATCATGATCACAATATGGTAGCCATGTTATTTTAAATAGCTATAATATCTAATTTTAAACAACAGTGATTTATTTGATGAATTAACAATACTTCCATCAAAAAACTCATCAGTAATTCTGACAGTTTGTTATTTCTTATTAATCTGGCAAACATATAACCCCCTTCAGCAAGGGACTTTAGAGTCGCTCACTTTAACCACAAGAGCAGTCCAGTTAAAATCAAGAATAAAACACAAGTGCATTGCTGAATAGGGCTCATAGGCAATTGTAAAATCTGGGATGCCAACATCCTAACAACAAATTATCAGCCCCTGAAATTCTGCTCAGTTTGCTTGGCTTGTATCTTTTTTAAAAAAAAAATGTAACCCAACTGTTTACTGGATGGTATAGTTTGTATCGAGAGAATAAAGTCAACAAGTTATATGCCATCAAATAATTATTTTTCTCTTGGTAATAACTTGAATACAGCATAAATTTTTTCTTCTTTTAACTTCTTTAGTCTAAATCCTAGCTGCATTTGTATACAGTAAAATTAATCAATGATATTTTAGGTAACCACCTTCCTTGACATGTTCCAGACAACCATTTTTATTGTGTGTTAAAATATGTGAATATTTTACTTATTGCAAAGTATCCTGTATAATGCAGGTTCTCCACTATAAAATCTTCTTCCTTTCTTTTAATTCAGTCATTTTAAATGTAAATTACCAGTATACAGTACTAAAATGGTCCAATTCAAGAGTTTAATATAAAAATATCAGCACAAAACTCCTTTTTAAATTCTGTTTATTGTGAGCAACCCAAATGTCTGTTTAATTGCTATTAGTTGTAGTATATTAATAGACTTTGCACCCCTACAGTTGCTAACTTGTACCATTTTAGGTATTTCAATGAGATAAGAAATACTAAGTAAGAAAACAGTAAGTATTCAAAGGGTTAATTTGTTTAGAATATGAATAATAAATTAGTTTTCATGTCTTCTTCTTCAGTTCAAAATCCAGCTTTGAGACTGAGGAAGGCTTCCAAATCACATCAATTAAATAAAAGTGATCCTTTTAACCAGTCGCAGTTTGATTACCAATGACTCGAAGGATCTCTTTATGAATGCTTGGCTCTTGCGTATTTATACTTGTATCACCCACTTGACCATCTTCATAACTAAAAAAGCACAGAAACAAAATGAGCATTTACTAATCCACCTGAAAGTGTTCATGGTTTTATTCAATGAAAGATAATAATGATTATATGATTTTATAACACGCCTCTTACTGAAACACTCAGCAATAAAGGTTATGTGAACAGTGTGAACTTTGGAGTGTGGATTTTGCTTGGTGACAGGATTTGCCCTGTAAAGAAAAGCCCTATAGTTCCCATCAATACTACAGTACACAAAGATGTGACAAGGGCTCTGACACTACTGCTTGTCCCCTGGGCTCTGTGTAGCCTGTTGGCAGCTCATCCCCGCAGTAAGAGGACAGTATCCTTTGGTAGTCAGCTGTACCTGAAATCCCTCTGGAATGCAGTGTTATCAAAACATACACAAGCTCCTGGAGTTTTCATCTTCACTAACTGAGCACTATCGAAACTGAAGATTTGTCCCCTTCCAGACATCGGTAGTCTGCCATTTAATGCAGTTGTACTTGTGCAAAACCTTCTGTGTTGACCAGATAAACTGATGCAGCTTTCTCCTGCTTAGAATCAGAGTGAAAGATCCTGGTTCAAAATATGATTGACCTTGTCTGCTCTAGTAGCTAACATTGGTGAAGTTGGCTGAGTTTAAAAGCCTGAATGCTCTATGCAGAGAACAGCAAGAGACAGGCAGCTCCAAAAGCCGATTCAGAAAGTGTGGCATCACCTACATGAAAACACAAGGGTGTGTCTGAATTCATGCCCGCTTTCCAGAGCATGTGTTGAACTCTGCACTTTTGTTCAATCCACTTGATGTCTGACTGGTGGTAGGAAATCCATCTTTTTCCCAACTGTCTAGTGGATAGGGTATTTGCTAAACAATGGGAAGCCTCAGCTCTAGGCCCTCCTTACCCTGATGGATATGAACTCATGTCTTTCATTTCCTGGGAGTGTGTGCTAATTATTAGGTTTTTGGCTGGACTGGGTGGAAAGAGTTCTGGATCCCAGTCCTTGCCACTAGTGACTGGATTGCATTTTGTTTTAGACAGCTGGTCTAGCAGGTTGTGTTTTTCTGAGGAATCATGCACCTTCCCAAAACAAAACTGGATTGCAAAGGGATTTAACGTGGTCTAGAAAACAAAAAAAAGTGCCTGGGGATCACTAAGATCTAAACTGTAAGCACTGTGTAAGGCAGGTGTTTAGGATGATTTCTGATTAGTGGGACCAGGTCAAAGTGGATTGCTTTTCCTGCCTTTGGTGCTTAAAATCCATTTAGGTTCCTAGAGTCCCATTCAGCCTCCTTGAAGATCAAATTGGACTGTACTTTATGTCAATATAGAGTGTACTGTTATAGAATCAAAAATGATAAAGGGAAACATCTGTGTGATAGAATGGATTTGTTTTTCTTGGAAACTTTTACTTCCCTTGGCTTTTCTAGAATGTGTTCTGGTAGCACTGCATTTTCATTTTTCTAAGTTATCAGTATAGGCCTATAATAGTGTGACCTATTGCCATGGAGTGGGAACAGTGAATAGCTCTTCCTTCACTGTATTTCTGGTAACAAATGGTTAATAATTTAGCATACACACACAAGTCAATCTTTTAACGGTAGTTAGGAGAACACTTGCAGAAATTCTAGTCAACATACAAGCAGAAGTTTAAAGCTAACGAGACACTTTATACTTACACAAAGAAAAACCTTGTACACACATGATCAGTATTGGGAACTACCCATATCTCCCCATGTTTGTGCAGATCAGGTGAGGTTATCACTGTAAGGAGAAAATTTGTGGAGTGAAGAAAATATGCATAGGAACTAGCACTAAATATATTTGCTTATTTTTGACATATTTTGAATAGCATTGTGGGAATGTCCAGTTTTTCACTACGTATCTGCTTCATGGTGTAGAAACTGATTAGTTAGCTTATCATAGGATTTTTTCAATTTTCCGTATTGCCAGCAAAATAAAAGTATTTTCATTTTAGATCCGACATAATTTTTTAAATTTTTTCAGTTTATCCAATGAACCTAAAATTCAATTATTTGTACAGCTCAAATTTTTCATGAGCATGTATTTGCCTTCCAAACACATGTATTTTGTGAGGTATTTCATAAGGACTAAATATTTTTTAAAACACAGTAAGTATACAGATCAGGCAAACAGAGTGGGTTTTAACGCATGAAGAGAACAAACAGGAGCTAGTGGGTACTGTTCACTAGGGCTGTGCGAAGCTTCAGTCCCTGGTTTGATTCAGCAGAGATTCAGCCCAACTCAGTGGCCAAATCTCTGAATCCGAATTGAATCACGGGACCATTTACTGGGTCTCTAATCTCTCCAAATTGAATTGGAACCCTCCAGATCAATTTGGAGAGGTTTGGAAAGATTCAGAGATTGACACAGTTTTAAATGTTTTTTCTACATACTTCTAGGTACCAGGTGGCTGGTGAATGCTGTGATGCTGGGGCGGGTCCCCAGTGCACCCAGCAGCAGACTGGGAAGTGGCCCAGAAGCACTTCTAGTCCACTTCTGGGTCCACTGGGGAGCATGCTGGGGGGCTCCCTGGCACCCCCTGGCTTGCAAATGGTGCCTCCTGGGTCTGGGGGGGCACCTGGGGTCCCCCCACGGCCGATCGCTAGGCAGTACTTCCGGCTACTTCTGGGTTTGCCACCAAGAAACATGGAGGTCCCCCCCACCCCCCCTGCACTCCTGTGGGACACTCCATCTACCCCAGCATTGCAGCATTCACTAGCCACGTTGGTACCTCGAGGTATGTAGAAAAAACATCTGAAGCTGTGTTTATGTCTGAATCACTGAGTCTCCAAATCAGCATCAAATCCTCAGATTTGGATTCGGCTGAATTGTATCAGGGACAGCGATCCAAATCAAAGAATCAAATCACTGTCCCTGCTTTGGGCTGAATCCAAATCCGAATCGAATAGGGCCCACTTCACACACCCCTACTATTTACCAGAAAAAGGGTTTATTTGTCTGAGTAGTGAGAGGTAGGTTGGGAATTCAAACTAGATAGTTATCTGTTCTGATTCTTTGATGTTTAATGCTTTTTCACAGATTTGTAGGCAGCCTCTGTGGTAAAGGAAAGCACACTACCAAGACAGCTAATTTGTTAGAAATTAGGAGACTGAGAGGAGGATAACCAATCATTGTGTCCACAGCGCCTGCTCTGGGAACCAATATTTTTGGGCGAATGGTCAGTGGAATGCACTGAGACTTAAAGCCTAGAAATTAAGTAGGTATTTACATGCCTGATAACATACTTTTATAAAAAAAAACACTTCAATTTAAGCTTGTATTAACTTGCATTTTAACTAGTTCAGATAGATACAATGCCCAGAAAAAAAATGTATTTGAAAAGATTTTCACCTTACCTTCACATAAGGCTATGCATTTTAAGTTACGGCTTTGCAAAAATTGAGATTGCTGTCCTTTCTTCTGTGACTGAGATGTAAAAACATTTAAAAAATCAGTAAGAGGAGTTAGGCAAAACAAACAAATGCAACAAAAAGCAATGTTCCCTTCAATTGTTCATTGAGTCACTGACAAAACTGTCACAGTCTCGCTAAGAACATTTATTTTAGGAACTTAAAATGTTAAGTAGTGATTTAAACATCTTGTCCAATGAGAATGGTTCCAATTCATTACTAATTTAAGGATTGCATAGTGTTTTTAGGAGGATCACCTTATTACCAATAAAAAGACTAATAAATAGATTAAAATGGACAAATGTTCCACTGCTCAAATTCCTAACATATGGAGTTTTCACCTGTGGCTGACAGATGAATACAGGGGCACAGGCCCTATTATTTAATTCATGGGCTTTAGGAGTATCTGAGCCTTCTGTATAACTGCTCTCCTCAAGTGGTATGGGTTGGGATAGATTTTTTTGCTACCATACAGCAGTAGGACAGGATATAGTACAAAAGTACTGTAGCATGTGAGATAACAGAATGCTCTACAAAGAGGGTTTTACTAGTAGATGAATGCAGTTATGGACTTATTGGTGCACACCTGCTACTGCTGCTTTACTGCCCATCTCATTCTCTCTGCCTGTGACAGAATACAGAGGAATACAGAAGATTTGTAACCTACAGGGGATACAAAATCCTTTTGAATCAGCTGCACAAAGTACTGTGGAAAGGCTCTGTAAGCATTTGCATATGGGCAGCTATAGAATTTCCTCCTATAGATTTTATTATCTCTCAGTCCAGTGTAGCTGTATAATTACTTGAAATGATCTTGCCTTTGATTTAGCAAGTTTACTGGCTGAATATTTAGAAACTATTTAACATAAAGAAAATCAGTGATGGAATACAATAGATATCAACTCATTTTACAGCATCATCCATTCTAAAGCCTTGATGGCCATTAGTTTAGTAAGGAGTTCAGAGGTTTGGTAGAGCTGATGTTAAATTTAACAGACAATCTTCCTTTCTTTCCCATTTTCATTCCACACAGTTCTGTCTGGAATGCACTGGCACAGAGTGTAATCAGTAAAAGTTGTCCCTGAAAGCAGTTGAGTTATATTCGATTGTAACAGTATCCCTAGTACTGCTGATATAAAAGAGGACTGGGTTTCCAAAAAGGAATATTAATTCCTTCACAGATGTTGAGCTCTTGATCATAATACCGTATGTCTTCAAGATATATGATATGTTACTGTACCTGTGATGCATTACTGCCTTTACTGCTTGAAGCAGGTTCATCCTTAGCTGACACTTTCTGCTGCTTCTTGTTCATCCCTAAAGACATCAAAATTACTTCAGATACAATGGGGTGTGTAAAGCTTCATCAGTGTACATTATATATGGAGAGTGGAAACAAGTTTTGGTGTGGAATACTTGTCTGCCTATACACTTGTCCGCCTATACACATGCTCCAGTTAGAATGTGTCAGAGCAGACTCAATTAATCGAGTCTGCTCCACGTTCTAATTAGAACACTCCAGCATGGCCTCACCATCATGTGTATAAGTCCCCACACACTTTAAAATTGCTGTGGGGGTGCTTAATCTAAACCTCATCGAATGAGGTTTGGATAAAATGTCCTATGGCCATTTTTAAGCATGTAGGGCTTTACTACATGTGACCGTGAGGCATTTTAATTAAAGCGGCTCTTTGGGAACCACTCTAATTAAAATGCTCCACCCCTCACCCCCGACCACATGTATAGGCAGCCTGTGTTACTTCCCTCACTACTAGACTGATTTAGTCCAAACAGCCATGCATTTATACACTCCCTCCTCCACCCACCTCCCCCCGGCCTTGAGAATAGCCAATGAAGCAGGTGCCAGATCAGTTAAGTGTGAGATTTAGTGCCACAGAGCACTAAATCTCACTAAGTTTAAGAGCATGATAAACAGGGGTGGATTTCAGCAGTGCTTCAGGTTAATTGTTCTCAGGCTACTTGTGGTTTAAAGCCCTACATAGTATGAGTAAAACAATTAGAACTTGACTTAAGAGATTTTAATTGAACCCTTCATCTTTAATATTTTACTAAGTTGTATTTGTTGTTTTGCATGCTGTTTTATAATAATATAACAAGTAATACATAGGCTTGTGTCTTTCTTTTATTTTTTTATTCCTATTTAAAGGTTTTCATTTTCAATTAGTTATTTTTATGTGTGAGATAATATCTTAGAGAAGAATCTGTCAGCCAATATAACAAGGCATATTTTAAAGCCCTTGGTTGTATCTTGCATCTCAGACCTTCCTTACACTGCTCCTTTCAGCTGACATACTCTACTTCTGCACATCAGTGCCTATATAAACCCATAGTTTTTGTTTTAAAATATATTATACCCCTATGAGATTTGCAAACAGAGAGTTGCAATTTGTTGGAGGTTTGACTCTCCAATCTAATGAGTGTTTGAAGCTCTAGCCCTAGTCTCACAGAAGTACTGGTATATGTAGCATTAGAAAGCAAGTGGGAAGATAAGTCTCTGTCATAAAGAGCTTACATTATTAATTGATGCATGTAACACCAGAACCACATGCCAAGACCCTTGAAGAGGAGAAACTGAGGAGGGAAAGTAGAGAGACAGTACAAGAAAAAAGGGGATAGGTCACTATAGACCCAAGAGAACAGATTATGTAGTTACTGATGTCCATTTTTCTTCCTAGTTATATACAGAATTATATATAATCAGTTATTATTTATGCTTGCTTTTATTTTCTTGAAGAGCCTGCCCTATGGCCCAAATGAAGTCAACTTAAAGATTCCCACAGATTTCAAGGGCTTTATATTGGGATCTAGGCCAAACTGGAATGAAATCAAGAGCAGCTATTACAGGTGTACTACTAATAGATAAGAAATAGAAAGAAGTGAGTTTGGAGGAGCTCTGAAATACAAATTAACTGTTTGATGTATAAGCATGAAAAAAGAAATACAGACATGCGAAGACCTGCCCTGTTTTCTCATTTAAAAACATACTTTAGTTTTGAATAGAGGTGCATCAATACATCAGTCTCATTATCAGATCAGTACCAATATAGGGAAAACTGAAAGTATCAGATGCTTTTTTTGCCTGATGTGGCTGATAATATGGCGAATAAATGCCCCATGCATGTGCAGCCCGGCAGCTCAGAGATCAGCATCTGGCTGTAAGTTTGGTGTGGGGGAAAGGTAAATCGAGGCTCCCAGGGTGAGGAAGGAGTGGGGCTGGGGCAGGTGTTGTCCAGCCAGGTTGGGGTGGGCCCAGGATGGAGCCACAAGTGGCTCATCTGGTGAGCACAGGGCAGCTCCCGCTGCTGCATGCACCCCAGGAGGGCGTGCCCCCCTGGATCTGTGCATGGTTGGGGTGG